ACTTCCGTATTTGCATTTGCATATGAAAATGCGATATTTGGACATTTCAGCTCGCGAGACATCGAATAAAAAAAACAAAATTGGACCATTAGAAGCCGAGATAACCAAAATTTTTAAGCGCTCCGCTATTTTGACCGCGCGATTTCAATTTCGAGTCGGCCGGAGTAGCCGAGCTCTCGACTCCCCCCCACCACTACCTCCCATAAATTTTTCGTGAATTTCAAGCTCGGTCCAATAGTTTTAATCGATATTTTATGTGTTGTACAAGGGCGCAAGTTTTGCAAATTCACTCCCGACAAGTACTCGTAATGACAAAGGTATTTGTTTAAAAAACAGCCCTCCAGACGTCGTAGTTACGCCACAAATGCCGGTCAACTTTGATCGACTATAACTCTGGAACCCATTAACGAATCACCACGTTTTTTTTATAGAAACGTCTTTCCGAGAACTTTACAAGCATAATTTAAATAAAAAATAATTATAATGAATTTATAAAGTTATTCTATTTGTTTATATGCGCAAAAATTACGCATATTTTTAAACAATTACCACGGCTCTCCTAATTAACGGATTTCAATTTTTCTGGACGCATTTTAAAGTTTGAGTGCCCTTTTTTATGTGATTAAATTTTCAAGTATCTAGAAATCTTGATTTAGGCTCAGTTAAATTTGCAAAAATTTCAATTTTTTTTCAAAAATCTAGACTGCAAAATTATTACTCGAAAACCATAGGACCGATTTTAACGAAAATTGGTGTGATGTTTTATTATATCAAAAAGATTTTTTTGGCCAAGTATGAAGATCCTACCTATAATATAAGTACTTTTAAAGAAATCGCAAAAATATTGTAATTTTTTTCACTTTTTTTGNTACACTGACGGTGTTTTGGCATATTAGTCTTACATTTGTTACCCATTTCAAACAAAACAGTTCTGTGGTCGGAAAAGTTGTTATCTACAACACAAATCACATTAGCACTATTCATATTTGAGAAAATGTTGTCAATAGTAGTACAAGTATTCATTGTAACCCTTGTAGGCCACTCGACCATCGGACGCAAGTCAAAGGCAAGTAGAATATTTTTAAAATTGTTAAAATCTTTAGTAATTTTCGAGCGTACATCAATATTAGCACATGTTTTGAAGCGCGCGCATAGTGAAATTATGTTTTGTTATATCATTTTGGAGCCATTAAATAAAAAATTAGCGATATACTATAATATAAAACATCTACACCAAAACAGATCTCGCCTGGTATAATAATATCTAATAAGCAGATCTTGTTCTTTGTCGATATTTTTTCTAGCTATGCAAACAAATAAATAAATTAAAACCATCAAAACTAATTTTCATAAAATATAACCCTTGACTAATCCTTTTGACGCAAGGGTTTATACCATTGATTTTTATTTTATTTTTACATACCGGCAAAATACTCAAAATAAATATACAAAAACCGCGGTAAAGTACCTACAACATAATAATAATATAAAATATGCGGCAAAGAAATTTATTACATAACATTTTAAATTAATAAATGATTAATTTAAGTATTTAACACCTCTAGATAGCATAAAAGCATAACTAATATAAATTTCACACCAGCTCAATTTCGTTTTTATTGAAAATCGGAACGCTACTGACCTTTAACTCGATATATCGTTGTAAGACATTAAAAATTACCAGTTGGCTTTGATTTAAAATTTCATTCCACTTTTAAATTAAATTTTCTTTTAAAATCATTTCAATTTTAACAAATAAATGAACTCTTTCTGAAAAGTACGCAACCTAATGATTTGGTTCTGATACAGACGAACCATATCATAAATTAGATGGTCAGTTACCGCTTGGATGCTCTGTAATTTTTTTAATCCATACCTCAATATAGTTCTTGTTAATCGTTATTAACTATAGAACCCGCTGAAGCGGAGAATCTTTTCAGATATTTAAAATTATTAGTGTATTGTCTTTCATTCTACGTTTTTTTTTACTACTTTTGTAGTAGCATCCAAGTTAAACCGTAGCATATTAAAACTTTGTAATTTTCCACTTAACAGCGCAATCGCAAACGAAAACAAATCCACGCTTTGTAAAAACGAATATTTCAATTTAAAAATGTATATTAATAACATTATCACTCGTTATATACGGTGTGCCCAGTTTTTCAGGTTAACACCTCTGGAAATGTGACAAGGCTGTGGACTTCCCGCAAACCAATTTTTTTGCAAATAGTACCCTGAAAGGAGGTTATATTCTACTAATCATTTTATTGATGTCACAAAAGCCGGGCCCACAACTATTTTTTTTTAAACGGTCTTTTTTCCAGAAAGTAGTATTAGGCATTTTTTTATCAAAAAAATTATATTACCGGGCTATTCAACGCCCAATAAAACACCCATATATCAAATTTGAACGACAAATGTCTACTGAGTGTTTTTTGTGGTGCCAAACTTCGAAAAATCAGACAACTGAAATCAGATCAAAGATTGCCATGAAAGTAAAAACAAATACCAATCGGACAAAGAAAGAATACAGCCACTATAAATTTAATACTTTTAATTATATTAATTAATTATAAAAATAATAACTTACAAAAAATGTAATGAATTCATTACCTACATTTTTTGTACGTTAATTATTATTTTTACTATGGCCGCAATTTATAGTGTCTGTATTTTTCTTTGTCCCATTGGTAGGTACTTGTTTTCACTTTCATGGCAATCTTTGACCTGCTTATTATAATTTTTAGCTGTCTGATTTTTGCACCACATAAAAAAACACTCAATAGACATTTGTCTTTCAAATTTGGTATATGGATATTGAGATGGGTGTTGAATAGCCTGATATTATCTTTTTGATAAAAAATACGCCCAATACTACTTTCTGGAAAAACGACCCTTTTGAAAAATCGTAGTAGGCCAGGCTTTTGTACATCAATAAAATGATTAGTAGAATATAACCTCCTTTCAGGGTACTATTTGTAAAAAAATTGGCTTGCGAAAGGTCCACAGCCTTCTCAAATTTCCAGAGGTGTTAACCTGGAAAACGGGACACACTGTAGATTTGTAGTTCGTAGTAAAAAATTGATTCCTCCTACGAAAACAGAAAAAGCAGAGCCGGATAAGATTTCGACGAACTTTCTGTCTGAAAAGCAAACTATTTTCAAACATAAAAAGGCAGAGTCGGGTTAGACTTCAAAGAACTATTTCATTTTGATTCAGTGGAAAGAAAACTATTTTTAAACGCCAATATCCAATATCTTATGCACATGTTGTACACATACTAACAACCTATTTTCGGAAATTTCAGATACCGGTAGAAAGAATCCGACAAAAGTCAAAGTCATGATTAGATAAAGGTGACTTGCATTCGCGTTCCTTTAAAATTAATTGGAAGAATGATATGCAAGGTATTAAAAAACGAGTAAAGCCTCTGCTCAGAATTCAAGATAATAATACAATTTTCCCAATATACCGATGTGTATATACAAGGTGGTTCCAAAGTAAAGAGGACTTTTTAAAAATAAGAGTAACAAATAGTTTTTTTGGCAGAACCAATTTATTTTATTCAAAACTGCAGGATATCGGTACAAGCTTTTTGGATGGCTTCTGCGTCCACAAAACCCGTTCCTTCATAGGCAAATATATTTTTCGAAAAAGTAGAAGTCCCACAGTGCCAAATCAGGAGACTATGGGTAGTGATTGACAGTTAAGAAGAGATTTTTTATCAAAAAATCGGTCACAAGTGTCTATCGATAGATGGATTTATTGATATGTTTGCATTAAAAAATAGTCCTTTTTACCACTTTTTTTTTATAAACATTTAGATTATCTTCGAAACCATAATATTTAATTATAAAATGTGCTATTGTAGAGCCAATAAAAAAAATGCGATAAATTGATGTTTTTGAGATGCTTTACTCCAATTCCTTGAATTTCAATGAAGATTTTGACTGATCTTTGATAAATTCACGCATTTCTTTCATTCTCTTTTTTACTACAGCTTGCCTGTACCATCTCCCTCTATTCTATCACCATATTCTTCACCGGTATTATAATTATATTTTGACCTTTATCACCCGATCTACGACTGCTTATATCCAAAGAATTAGTAACTTGCCATAGTCTCTTTCAATAATAGTTCTATTTTCAAGGTCAGCATGAATTCTTTTATAGCTCATCTGGGTTTCATTGAAATGATATTAATTGATGAGGCAAATCACATAGTAAATCTGCGACTGTAACTACATTTTTAATTTCAATAGATTTTCTAGCAGGAAAAGGCATTTTAGTTTCATTTTGTAAGTACTTCGCTATACCAGGCGTTTATCACAACAAATAGTGTAAATTGTAAGTTGTGTATTTGGTTTGAACAACAACGTAATGCGTTTGAACAGAGAATTTATGTTTATAAATCGAATTATTTGGTTTAAATATTATGCATATTGTATTGATTTTGTCTTAGATATCCTGAAGTTAGTTTACGGAGAATTATACGATAGACTACGTTTAACCTTTGTACGAAATATATTTATATGGGCATTAATCATGACAGCAAAACATTCCTAACGCTAGCCAGAAATGTTAAGGGCTAAAATTTTATTTACAAACATCTACAACTTTTATTTATTTATATTTAGTTATCTACTATAATACTATCGCACTACTACGATAGTGCGATTGATTCCGATTTTTATGTGACACGATTTCAGAGAATTGATTAGTAATAAATTTCACAGGCTTTACTCATAATAAAACAAATTGTTGTCAAATAAATGTTATTTGGACACCACTCCAAACAGCTGATAACCTTAGTCATGTCCATCAATCATTTTTTTACTTCGATTAAAATCGTGCAAAAAAACACATGTCACAGATATTTAACAAAACATTGGCTGTTTAAAAAAAATAAAGTACGACAACGATGAGTTATAGAATTAAATATATTTTAAGGGGGGTATCGTTAAGGAATTTTACACAAATGATAACATTTAACCTTTGCACGAAATATATATAAGTGCATTAGACATGTCTTCAAGACATTTCAACTCTAACTGCAAGTCTTGAAAAGCAAGAATCTAACGGTGAGTCTTTTATGTAAGAATATTCATATCCCTCATTTTTATTCATGCATGTATATATATTTTTCAACTGGTGCCCACTCAAATTTTGACACTCAACAACGAAACAGATAAAAGAATTGTAAAATACTATCGCACTGCTAGGACAGTGTGAGTGTTTTGGATTTTTATGTGACAAGATTTCAGAAAATTGATTACCAATAAATTGTATGGGCTATAACTGATAAATAAACACGACAGTTGTGTGAAATGTTATTTATACATCATTCCAAACAGCGCGATAACCCCAGTGCTCTCCATCAATCATTCTTTTTTAATTCGATTAAAATGGCACAGAAAACATGCCATGGATACTTAGCTAAACGATCGTTGTGTTTAAAAAAAAATTAGTGTGCGACACCGAGATGTTACAAATTTAAATATTTTTTTTTTTAATGGAATGTCTAGATATATTGCTAAAATAATTTCAGTGGCGTATAACACAATGGAATCTGGAAAACGTTTTGAAAATCCTCATAATATATTTACGAGTATTTTTACTTGAATTATTATTATTATTTTTACTATTTCAAAAAGATCTCAATGCAATGGTACTTATGGTAATAAAGGATCATGTAAAGTTAAGCTTCAACCCCGAAATTGCATCTTTCTTTGTACAAAAAGCTGTGCTGTGCATGTACAGGGTTAGTCACTATAATCTGACAACTTATTGTGGGTTTATCATTGAAATTACCAAAAAAAATTAATACAAATTAAAATAAGGGTGGACAGTATAGAAAATCATCCGATGTACAAAAAATCAAATTAAGAAAAATTGGGGAAGGAAAGGACGCTTCTATTATAAACCACTAGGTATAATTATCAGAAATTTCGTAAGACATTTGCAACCAAATATTAATTTAAGAAAACGTCATACCTAGCGAAATTAAATGAAACTAAATTAAAGTTTTACAGAATAATAATAATGTACCGCCCTGTTTTTTTTGTTTTTGAGACATGAGATCGTTTAAATTTGTACTCAACCAGTTTCCCATTATAAAGAGCAAAAAGTAAAACATTATTAATTCTATTATACCAAAAAATAACATCTTTAAGGTATTTCTGGAAATCTCCCGTTGTTATGATTAAGTTCTCTCGGAATTTAAAAAACTACCATTCAACTAATCACTGGAATTAGTGGTAGATTATAAAATGGTTATATTGCATGGTTCAATAACCTTACAGTCGCAGCAAGTACACCGTGACCGATCAGTTACTGTTTACAGATAACCATAGGTATTTAGTTTACTCTTTAAATATATTATAGGCGTTAACTGGGATACCAATTTTTTAAAGCACGTTCGCGACCGGTCTGGATCTCTATAGCGTATGAGCACCTTCAGGAAACTCTACTTTAACGTTAGATAAATAAAATCGGGCAGGAGATGTTTGATACATACTTATTATACATACGTATTTAGCATAATGAAATAAAGAAAAAAACATGCTGTGGTGTACCACGCACCTTTTCCTTTGAGGGGAACAATCAGGGCATTCGGTTAGGAAGTAATTTGAAAAATCACGAAAATTTAACTGAAATTCAAGCAAATATTTTAACGATTTATTTTTATAACAAAATTGGAAATTTAAAATACTTTAAGACATATAAGGACCTTATATGTATATAACCTTGTAAATATTGGTTTATCTCTTTCACAATCAACATATATACAGACTGTCCTTTATATGATGGCACAGTCCATTTGCTACTAGTAGTTTTGTCACAATCAAAACCTCTATTGACTGGCCTAATATATAGACAACAATATACACAATATAGACAATATACACAGTATAAACAATATAGACAAATATACTAGTTAATCAAGTAGCCATGTTGTTATAGTTTAATATTATTGTAAGTGGTAATACATAATAAATAATACCAATACACGGAATCATAATGATATAGATCCTATGAACATTCCTTGTTTTGTTCTTACATTTTTTGACATTTACTCGAAATCTTGACATCAAACGTGAATTTAAAAGTTTTCTGACTAGTTAAGAAAAAAACCAGTGATGTATTTGGGATTGCAGTCAACAGTGCTAAGGGCTAATCTAATAAGAACACTCTGTGTTGTTGTCAAGCTTTTCAAATAAACATTTCCGAAAGCTTGACAACAACACAGAGTGTTCTTATTACATTAGCCCTTAGCACTGTTGACTGCAATCTCAAATACATCACTGGTTTTTATGTGTATATATATATATTGTTATGATTGTATGTGTGTATGGTTTTATATGTTAGCGCCAAAATAAATTTTGTTAGTTTTGATATTAATTTTGATTGGATTGGTGTATTGTGTATTGTCTATCTTTGCCCTATCTAGCTCTAGACTCTATCTCCGTAGTCGGTTCTATGTTCTAGCAAGAAACCACACCAAGCACAGCTACAAAAACAAAAGGTTTAGTAATAAATGTATTTATTAAAAAAATTTTTATATATGTCAAAATTTGTCACTCTACCCTCTTAAACACACTAGTCAATATATTTTGAAGTATTTTACAATGTTTATAAAGCCTTATACAAGAAGTTATATT